CTTGATTTTACCAGTGTGGGACATAAAATGTATTTTAAAAACCCCACCTGCTCCAAAGCTGTGTCTGACTCAAAGCAGATGCACCGAGCTTTGCTGAGTCCATCTGGGGTGTGACCCAGCACACCCCAAAAGACTCCTTTTGTCTTCAGTAGCTGAAGACCTTTTATCATCTTCCATGGGAAATGTGATTAACAGAGCTGTAGAGAGTGATACATCACTTTCCTTTCTACCCAAAGCCCCTTCCTTCTCCACCCACATCCTGATGATCTCCCAGCTGACGTACATGTGCTCGTGGAAAAGTAGGATGTGATAAAAGCTGGGTTGCAGTGGCACAGGGTCCCCAGTGGCACAGGCTCCGACACCAGTGTAATTATACACGCTCCCGTCCGATCTCCCAGTAATTATTCTGGAATAAAAGCCTGCCTATTTCTGTAAGACCTTATGTCACTTGGAAAGCTGTTATAAATTCAGCTGGAAAAAGGGACCCTTATTCTGGGATAAGTGTGGTTAGTGGTTAACTGGGAACGGGGCTATTCCTGGCGTTGCCATCGAGCTTCCCGGTGACGCCGGGGTAAGTCACTTCACCTCAGCGTGTGTCACCTTCTCCTGCTGCAGACTGGGAATTACAAACAAGGGCTTTCGCAGGCAGCCTTTTGGGAAGCCCCACGACTCTGGAAAAAAGGTGTCACAGGGTGCCAGGCAGTCATTTAGTGGGACCTGGTGCTTTTTTACCCACCTTGGAGGCATCTGGATCAAGCTGTAGGCTGGGGAAATGAGGGACGAGCGTTGGGGACCGGCTGAGCCGCGTGAGCCTGGGCTGTTGGCGTGTTACTGGGAATACTGTGTTTTCCTCTCGGTTTTTAAAAATAGTCTATTCTGTTCCAAGTTGTAGACCACAGCCCTCGCTGGGGCATTGAAATGTCTGGGCTGCTGTTTTCTCGAGCCAGCACCTTCCAGTGTTCAGGGTTGGGATGTGATGCCAGCATCCATCCCCCCAGCTGCTGGGTCCAGCAGAGATGGGGGGTCCTGCCCTGGACTGGCAGCATTCTGCTTCTCGTGGACAGGAGGAAAAGGGAAATCTGGTCCACTCTTCTCCCTGCAGCATCCCTGCCTGGTTCAATAGCTGCTTCTGCAAGCCCTAAGGGCCTCGGGGACTTTTGCTTCTCAGCAGCTTCTTGTGCAGCCTCAGAAACTGCTTTTGGCTCGGCATCACACGAGCACACGCAGCTGAAGATGCAGCTCGTTCCTAGCACATGGCATTCAATCTGTGCTAGAGGTGGGGAGAATCCTCTCGGAGGCTTTTATCGTTTGCACAGACAGTGCAGGCTGGCTCACAGCCAGAATCCATCGGCTTGCCAAAGCGGGTGCTGCCCACGGAGCAGCAGGACCAAGGTGCTGGTGCCAAGAGGTGCAGGCAGAGCCTGCCCTGGCGCGTTCCCACGGCCTCTGTCCCCGCACAGGCACCGGAGTGGGGCTCACTGCCGCTCGCAGTTGGGCTGGAGCCAAGGAGGCAGAGGGGAAAAAGCCTTTTACAGTCCATTAGTGCTCCCCAGAGCCGTTCAGCCCCTCTCGTCGTAAAAGTGGTGGAAGCCACAGAAACATTACGGCTGGTCTGCAGAAGATGCTGGTCTGCAGAAGATGCCAGCGCACCTCCCGGCTCCGTGTCCCTTCCCGGGGGCTTCGCCAAAGCCGCTGGCCCTCGCGGCAGCTCGGCTGCTGGAATTCCCTCTGGGAACAAGCTGGCAAAGGGCTGGTTCCCTGTCCATGCCGAGCTCCCCCGGGCAAAATGTGCATGGGAGGGTTCCAAGTGCAAATGTGTGTGTGCTAATGGGAACTGAATTGCCTCTTGCCCCGCAGCCTTGCAGCTTGAGGAAAACAAGGCAGGGGCTAGGAATGACCTCATATCGCCTCCCAGGGAATGTTTTGCCAGATGAAGGGGGGAGAGGCAGCATCAAGACAGCACAATGTATGTATCTCTCTCCCTGTGTAAACATCTCTGTAGCTGCAGAAACCTCTTAAAACCCCGAATGAGAGGAGAACAGCTGCTTTGATCTGTGGATGTGGTTGTTGTTTTCTGAGTGCAGATCCGTTCTTTTTTTAATTTTGCTTCAAATTAAAAAAATGCCTGTTGTGATCTTTTGCTTTTATTTCTTGGCGAGGGACCGGAGAGTGGTGCAGTAAATTTTCATGACTCCCCATGTAACCGTTTCAGCATGGCTGACAATTCCTCGCCGGCTCTTCAGCGCCACAGCACAATGGGCCGAATCTTCTGGCCCTACATGAAGCCAAAGCAAATGGATTTTGCCCAGAAGTGCACAACGGGGAGTGGAGGCAGCAGGGAGGAGAGTCCTGCCACCTCCTTCCCCGCCACACACACACACACACACACAAGGCTCAGGCTGGCAGGGCTGTCCCAATGCCTGTGGAGGGTTTTGGAGTCAGCTCCCGGGCACGGATCCGTGCCAGCCCTATGTGGCAGCAGCAGGAGCTGGTGAGGAGCCATGGGCTGAAGCGCTGGGCTGGCCTGCAGGTGATGTCAGTGTGACTCGTGGCACTCCCTCCAGGCTCCCTGTGTGATGTCAGGAATCCTCATCTGCCCGACTTTCCCCTTGGGGGACGGCCCTGTGCTTGGAGGGGCACCAAGGCATGCACAGCCCTGGCACCACCACTGGCCCTTTGGCCACCGGAGCGGGCAGCGTGCTTTGGGAAGGTTACACAGCTTTTCTGGGAATTCCTGGACATCAGCAGTTCACTCCAACCCCACTGCTTCGCTGTGGTGCTTCATAACCCCATTGGAGGAGCGAGAATGGGGGTCAGCCCCTTGGCTCCTGTGACATGACCCACCTCCCAGCAAGATACTGGTTTAACTGGGAGTGCTTGGCTGGAGACCTGTCCCCAGTGAGGCGGTCTGGGCACGAGAGAGGAGTTTCTTCATTCCCCCAGTGCTGTCACGTGGCTGCTCGGTGTTTTGGCGTTTTAATTACACACGGTCCTGTGTATTTAAGGCTGGTTTATGGGTGTTTATACTAATGCGTAAACCTGCAATTTAGAAGCTCAGTTATAAATCAACATTGCTGAAGGTCTTGTCCCTCGTGCCGTGAGATCGGTCTCCAGATTTAGAAGATAGGTTAGAGGGAAAAAAAGGAGGACTGTTTAGTTTTCCTCTGGTGATGATGATAAAGGATCACAGGATGGGGTGCGAGGTGCGGTGGCCGGGCACAGAGAGCATAACCCAGAGCAGAGTTTCCATTTTAACTCTGCTCTTATGAGTCTCTGCCATAAGGTACTTGTGTTTCTGCAGCAAATTCCAGCCCAGAAAGAAAAGCAGTGCCACAGCTGCTGATGTGATACTCACAGGAGGGTGGTGGCACCCCACTGGTGATGTCTTCAGATCAGGATGTGGGCTGCAGTGACCAGAGTCCCACTCAGCACCTCAGGAGAGGAACTTTTGTACCCAGGAGCTCCTGGCACAGACTGGAGCTAGCTTCCTCCAGCAGCAGTGCCCAGGGGGATGGCACTGGTGGCTCATGGTCCTCTCCCAGCACAGCCTAAGGACAACACCTCCACATTCATATTTTTATGTAGAACATTTTTTTTACTGCTTTAAGGATCATTTGTGCACCTTTGTCCCTTACCAGCTGCCGTGGAGCCTGGCTGTGCCAGGGCTGGGTTTGGGTTACTGGTGTGCTCCTGGAAACCCCCTCCCAAAGGGAAGGCCCCTGTCCCATGAGGGCAGCACAGGGAGGGGGTGTCTTTGTAGGGAAAGGTCCAGGGACTCCTCAGCATCCTCCTGTCCAGCTGCAGTCCCTCCTCTCTGCCATGGGTGCTTTGGCTTTGCTGGACATTTCCCACTGCCTCCAGCCCCCTTTGTCAATCTTTAGGGGTTATCAGGACAAAAGGGGGTTCGGGAGGGGGTAGGGGCAGCACAGTGGGCTGGGAGGGAGCCACGGGCAGGATGAGCCTGTGGGCACAATGCCCACTGGGGCTGTCAGGTGGAATCACCACACACCTTCCTCCCCGTCCCGCTCCTGGCTCCAGCCTTAATCTCCCGCTGCAGTTTCCTGGCTGGTGATGCCTCTCCTGGCTCAGGGAGCAGGAACACCCCGGAAGAGAGATGGTGCCAGCAGCTGCCAGCACCAGGACGGTCACGGGGTGGGGCAGGGGTCCCCCTGCCTCCCTGGGTGCCCCCAGCTCCAGGGGCCGGGCTGTGAGAAGGTCCCGCCAGCAAACAAAAAAACACTGAACATTTCAGAAAGGTCTTTCTCTTCCCCCTCCACCCTCGTTTCCAGTCCTCCTCCCACCTCCCAGGGCAGCCAGCAGAGCTGCTCTCCGGCCCTGTTCCCCCCTGCCCACCACCCCAAGACCCTCCAAAAGCCACCAAGCCCAGCCGGGTCGTGCCATCTGCAAACTCTCGGGTTTTTAATTCGATCTATTTTTTTCCCTTGTCCTTTTCTTTCCCACCCCTTGCCTTTTCCCATGCCATACGCCTCCCCCTGGCCCCCCTCCCCTTGCCACCACCCCAAGCCCTCGGCTGGCCGAGGGGCTGCGAGGTGCGGGGTGGGTCTGGGGGTTGCGGGGGGCTTTGCATTGATGCATTGATCGCCCATGGTCTCCGCCTGACCTCCCTGCTCCCAGGGAAGCAGTCTCCATGGCTACTGGCCCTTCTCCTTCAGCGCAGACTGTAAATTCCTGCAGGCAAAGCCCAGCCTTGGGGGTGCGAGGGGGGGAGCCGTGAAGGAGTAACCAAAGCCAAATAGAAAGAAAGAAAGAAAGGCTGGGAGAGAGAAAAAGGGCGTTGCTTGGATGGGGCTCTCCTTTCCACTCCCCTTTCCCAGGTCCCCAGCACCAGGGCAAGGCGCCTGCTTCCCCCCTCCAGCACTGCTGCTCCTGCTCCTGCTGCTGCTGCTCTTGCAAAACTGGAATTGGCTGGGATTATTTAAGGGGAAAAAAAAGGAGGAGAAGGGATCAGAGCAGCCGCCAGAGAGAGGGCGATAGAGTCCACTTTCCTCCAACTGCCCTGGGTCTCCCTCCCTCGCTCTCTCCTCTTCAGCAACACCAAGAGCCCCAAACTGAACCCAGAGCAGCTTTTTCCATCAGTTCAGTTCCCTTCCCTCCCTCTGTCTCACACACGGCAAGGAGAGAGCCCCTTCCTCCCTTTGATTTTCCTTCGCATGCTCAGCCCCTTGTTTCCTTTAAAGCACTAGAAATCCCCCTTCTTGCCCCCGCTCCTCCCTGCAGACTGGGATTGCAATGGGAGCTTTGCAGATTGCTGGATTTTCCATCCTTTTCTTTCTCCTCCACTCTGGAAACACGCTGGCAAATAAAGCCAGTCAAGGTAAGAGAAAATCTTCCCTGCTCGAAGGTTTGCTGTTTGATGTGTGGATTGGGCAGCCGGATCTCCTCGTTAGAGCTGGGGTTTAAGTGCAGGCTGGAGAAGGCAGCAGCAGTAACAACAAACAGTGGAGGGGATTTTAAATGTCGCTTGCAGATATTCTCGCCTACTGCCTTGGAACTGGGGTTGGGTTTGTAAACTCTTTGATGAGTTGCGTTTCTTAGACTTTAGTTCTTTTGGTTTGGACTCTTTATCTCAAGGCAGGGGGTGCAGGGGCAGAAAACTGGGGTGGGCAGGCAAGTCTGCATCCATCACAGGCAAAATGTGGCTGTTTGGAGAGGCTTGGGGGGCTCTGCTGGTTTTGTGTCTGTGAGTGGGGCTCCCAGGGCAGCAGTGTGGGCGAGGAGGCTGCTCCGGGCTGGGCTGGAGGGCAGGGATGGCGGAGCAGGCGTTGATAACGCCGGGAGGCTGCGTCTGTGCTCGGGGACTTCACATGGGCACGGGGGAGTCTCAGATGTTGGGAAACTTCAGGTAGCTGAGCACAGCTAAGCCTGAAAATTAAGGGAGCTCTTTCCCTATCTCGTGGAGAGAGAGGTATGTCCCATCCTTATCAACTCTGGGCTTTTCTGTTTCACAACTCCCGTGTTGAGGCAGAGCCTCCCCTTCCCAGACGTACACACGGAGCTTTATGTATGGACTATCTATACCTTCGCTTTTCTACAGCACCTCTATATTTAGCTCAGATTTTTTCTCTACACGCGCGCCGGAGCGCGCATGCAGCACACACAGCCCTACACATGATCCTGTTGGCTGTCTCAAAGGGGGTTTTCTCCTTCATTCTTCATTTCTCCTTGGCTATCTGTGCAATGTGTCGGGTTTTCTCTTTTTCTTTCCGTAGCATGCAAGGTTTCTGTGGCTGTGCCGTTGTGGCAGCCGCGCTGTTTGTGCGGACGGTGAGATGAAATGTGTGTGAATGAACCTCGGAGCGCAGGCTACAACGAAAGAGCTCTCTGAGGAGGGTTCCAGCCACGCGCGTGGTCTCCCGAGCCCTGTCACCGACAAAGTTAGAAGGAATTTCAAGGCTATTGTCTTATCTGGCTCAAAGTGTTTCTAAAACAATAGGCGACTTCTCCGGAGGGCAGCCTGGGCAAGCAGGAGAGATTTTCCAGGGCAAAGGTTTGGTGAGAAGGCGTCCAGCTTCACAGAAAGCTTTATGATTTAGGCACAGAAAGGAATGCTTAGGTTTTTATCCCCCCTCAAATTATCTTGAGTGTATGCATTGCTTTCATTTCTTATCATAATATTTATTTATTAAGGCCTTTTGGTTTCCAGTTCCATTTAAGCCTGAGCCAGAATTGCATTAAAATAGCAAAGTGAAATTCCATCGTGCAGAGACTTGACAGATCCCTTCAGGGAAGGAGAGGGGTGGAGTGGGGGTGGAGAGAGGTGAGCTCCATCGTGCCTTCATCGCCCGCCGTGCGCCCGGGACAGCGCTGGCTCCTCCCGGGTGCCCAGCTTGGAGAGCTGATCCCTGAGGCTGCAGCTGGGGCTTCTGTGGGCTGGGGAGGGGACGTGTCTGCAGAGAGGCAAAGGTTGGTGTCTGGGGGGCTGCGATGACTCTGGGCAGGGGTGGGCCTGGTGCTGGTGGTCGTTTTTGGATGAGGCTGAACTCGTAGGCATCACTGACGGCAGGTACGAGATGTGCCTCTCCTCAGAACCTGCTGTCTCCTGGGTTTTCTGACTGTCACTGAGCTCTTTGAACCCGCTCTGTGTGCCTGGGACGTTTCTCAAAAGCATCAGGTGTGTGTGGCAGGTGACACGCCAAGGATGGGGCACACATCACCCCGAAACCTTTGCCCTTTTGAGGGACAGCCACCCTTGCCAGGTGACTCACAGGCTGGGAAGGGCTCCTGTCCCATCTCTCTTTTCTTGATGGGATAACATTGTGTCGTGGGTCGGGCTTGCCAGCTCATTTCTTGTACTGAGTTACCCCAGAAAGTTTAGTCTGTGGGGAAGGAAGGATTTAGAGAGCTGGCTGCTGGGCCTGGAGGGTGTCTGCCAGTGGACCTGGCTGGCTGTGGAGTCAGCTTAGGGCTAGGAAGCTTTCAGGAGGAGAACTGGCAGTATAAATCTAAATAACCATGGGGAGGCTCCTGACACATCTGCAGTCCGCAGGCCAAGCTGCCCACGTGCTGCTGTGCCCACCACCCCTCTGGGTTTTGGGTACATAATGTCACCCCCAGCCCCAACCTCTTGTCTGTCAGTCCGTCCACAGCCTTCCAGACAGAAGAGTTTGTCCTGAGCTCCTGCTCTTGGTGGAGCAGTGCCCTTGCCTGCTGTCTGCCAGCATCAGTCCCTCCCTGGTGCTGGGAGAGCCCAGGGCCTGGCAGCTCTGAGCCCTCCTGGGCAGTGCCAGCCCCTCTGGCAGCACCCTCATCACTGGGAGCACATCCCAGGGTTTGCCACTTTCCCCTGCAGCTGGTTACACATCCCCTGATGCTGCTGGGCTGTGGGGCCAGGAGGGAGAGGCAGCATCTCCCCATCCCTGGGAGACCCCAGCACCCCGGTTTGCAGCCCCTGGCATTCCCACGACCCCAGCTCAGGGTCCTGGGGGGGACGACAGCCTCAGCCCAGCCCACTGGCACTGGCTGGTTGATGGTGACACCAGCCCTCCTGGCCACTGTCCCACGTGTGCTGCGATGCACCTGCAAAGCCCACACCGCCAGGGATTATTTTTCTGTATTTTTTTAAGGAGTCTAAAATTTTCCAATTGCAGCGTGGAGATGCTGTTTGATTCCCCTCCCACTGCAGCCAAACCTCCTCCCCCTTGGCCTCTGCCTTCCTACCTCTCCAGCATTCACAGTGTGTGACTGTTGTGCCTGTCCCCTCCGCCCCGCTGAAATATGAAATGTAAAACTGTAAACATTTCACATACACAGTTCAAAGGAGATCTTTGACTGAGGACGTCTAACATGCCTGTACCGAGATTAAAAAAGGGGAGGGGGTGGGTAGGAAGGAGGGAAGAAGAGTTTTTTTGTAACTGCCAACTGGAGTATAAATATTCAGACACCTTGAGTCTTCCAGTGCCCATGTATTGCTCTCTCCAAACTGCTCAGGAGTTTGGGGGTTCTTGTCTTTTATTTTTATATAGGTTTTTTTCCTTCGCAGGCAGCCACACCAGAGTACTCAGTTTAGGAAAATAGTATGCATGATTGACCTTAGCCTTCCCTTTCAAAATTCTAAGTCCCCTGAGAGGCTTTAGGAGAAGCCTGGGATGGCAAATAAAGTTTGCTCTGTCTGGCAGCACTGGAGGATGCCTGGCTGTGTTTTGGAGAGGCTGTGTCCCCGCTGGAGATCTTGAGATTGTTGCTCCCAGAGCAAAAAACAAACACATTTTTTAAGGCAAGGCTGGGTCAGTCCAAAAAGTCAAAGGAACAACAACAGCAATGACATTTCCATGGGGAGATGAACAGGCTGCTGGTGTGGAGCACCAAGCCCTCTGTGGGATTTGATGGAATTGGGTTGAAGTGTCCAGGGTTGGCACAAGGAGGTGGGATGGAGGTGGAGGGAACATTTCCTACCCAGGGAATGGTGGTGGAGCTGGGATCCATCAGGGTGACCTGGGCTGCTGCAGAGGATGGACAGCTCAGCCTGGCTCTGCCCTCTTGGCAGTGGCAAGCATAAGTGAGGGGGATAAAAAAGCTCTTTTTTGGGTCATTAACAGCTTTGGGGAAGCAAAACCCATGGTGAGGGTTATAGGGCAGGGTCTGGGCATTGGGCAGGAGGGTCACCAGGCTGGGAATGGCCCCAGGTCCTCGCTGTGATTTGTGGTTCTTCCTCCTCCTGTACTCCATCATTGCACAGGGCCAAGGGCTGGGGCTGCACCCCCTGTGTCCCACCTGCTTTTGGGAAAGCTGGGTGGATGTGCAGGGCACGGGGCTGTGCAGGGGTCTGCATTGCAGGGTGAGATGCAGACATCCCCTCTGAGCCATCCTGAGCACAGGGACCCCCATCCTGGCAGCAGGACATCACCCAGCCCCTGAGTCAGGAGCTCTGAGTGCAGATGACACTTGTTTAGCACGGAAGGCTGCCCTGCAGAGCATCTCCTCCCTCTCCTGGCCCACATCCCCTCCCAGGGGCTGCCAGTGCCCGTGGCCGTGCCCTGAGCCAGTCCTGCTGTGGTGCAGCACGAGTCACCCCTGCAAGCTCCCTGGACGAACAAATGATTAATAAACTGCACCACAGTGTCTGAGGTGGTTATTAATACCCTGGTAAAAGGAGCTACTGAAGTTATAAAGCTTTAATTTGGCATTAAGGCCGAGTGGAAACTCCGCATGTCTGCCAACAGCTACACACACATCCCCATACAGACAGGCTGTTAATATATATGCCTATATAAAAACAAAGAATAAAATTAATTTGTAGAAAAAGCTGAAGCACTTGCAGAAGAGGTGAAAAAGGATAGTGGGTTTGTTTGTTTAGGATTTTTCAGGCCAGTTTTCGCTGTCCTGTCTCACCCCCCCTCCTCATATTTATTAGAACTTTTGGCCTAGGGCTAAAACCATATTTTATTATTTAATTTTTTTTTTTTTAAACAACATAAGGAAGTGAGGAAAGAGCCTGAATCCAGGCTCTAAAAATATACGAGCTGCTGCTTTCTGCCCGTACCCGCTGTCGGGAGTGACACCGCAGGGCACAGAGGTGCCAAAGCCCCTGGGCTCCCTTGGGTGCCACCGGGGAGGTGGCGGTCCCCCCGCTTTTGGCACGCTCGAAATGGCAGTGGCGTTGAAACCGTCTGCCTCCGCTGCCTTTGAAATGGAGAATAAAGCTGCAGCTGGAGCGGAACGGGGCCCAACAGCCAGCGCTGGAAAATCCCACCCACAACGGAATAAAAAACATGGCCCGAGGCGCGGGGCGAGCCGCAACCTCCTGCCCTGCCCCGCTGCCCCGCCGGGGATGCTGCTGCCCTCCGAGGAGCCCCGGTGGGCCCCGGGGAGATGCGGTCCCCAGCGAGACCCAACGTCTTCATCCAAAGCAGATTCCCGGTGCAGAATTGCCTGTTTGAGGCGTGCCCATCTGCGCCGCCCGGTTTGGGCTCCTTTCAGGCAGTTTGGGGTGAAAAACGGTGGGTTTTGATTATCTGGGGAAGGGAGAAGTGGAGGGGGTGTAGGGGTATGGGTTTGCAGGGGGATTGGGAAACCCTCCAAAAATCCCACCTGGATTTGGGACCTGGAATGGAGCAGGACCCCTGGAGTAGGGGGACAAGCAGGGCACACCCCAGCGAGGAACTGCTGAGGGCAAACAGGGACAGGAGCATCAGTAAGGGTTTTTTATTTAAAAAAAAGTTAAATCTTCACTTGTGTTGGAGATGAACCCTCTCACATGGTGGCAGCAGCTCAGAGCACCTGCAGCGAGGCCACAGGCAGTTTTTTGGATGGAGGAAATTCTCCTGCAGGAAGAACGGGCTGGCCTGAGAGAAAACCTTCCCTTTCATGGGAAAATGCTGCTTGCATTGACAAAAATGCTAAAAACTGAGTTTTTCAGAGGGTTTTACTTGAATTCACTACATCATTTCTGAAGGATACTGAGGAGCCAGAATTTCAGCATTCTAAAATTGGGATCTTTGCCAATCCCAGCACGGCTCCTGGAGTGCCCAGGAGGGTATTTATTCACTCTTCCCACAAACACACTTTTTGGAGTTTTTATTTTATTTTTTTTTCTTTTTTTTTTCTTTTTTTTTTTTAGAATCCTGCAACCTTTCAGAATGACTCTAGCTTTGGAAAAATTAGAGTGGAAAACTGATAATGTTTTCTTTTGTACTTTTGCTGCTGTGTAATCTTTCCAAAGTTAGACAACTTTTGAAGTTACAGGATGGGAAAAAGGAAAAAAGATAGACAAAAAAAAGACGCTACACATGTGTGAGTGGGAGAGGGCCAGAGGTGCATTCAGTGCCCCATGCATGTTGTTTGTGGTCTTGAGTTTGAGAGAACAGAAGGAAAAATAAATAGGAAATAAAATTCCCCCAAAAGTGAGATTCCTGGCAAAAGGCTGGGAAAGTTTCAATGATGTGATTTATGCCTGGTGGATGCTTCATGTTCTGAGCGTTTTGAGGGGAAGGAGATGGGGGTTGATGGATGGTCTGTACTCTTTGGGTGCCCGGGTGGGTGCCCGGGGTGCCAGACCTAAAACTGTCACCCTGGCACCATGACTCAAAGCATCACAAAGTGATTTGTAACTTTGGGGGAACACCTGAAGGGGACCAGGATCTGCAGATTCAGTAGATTTGGGTCAGCCTCAGCTTTGCTGCTGCTGAGTTCCCATGCCCATTGTGGCCAGTGCTTGGCATCCCCCCCATCCCCCTGCTCCAGTGCCACCACCTCTCCTCTGGGAGCGCAGTGGGGGATGCAGGAGCCTGATTTGAAGTCACTGGGATGCTGAACAGCCACACTCAGCTCCCCAGAGGGACAAGTGGCCCATGGGTGCCCTGGCACAGGCAGGGATCCATGCTGGTGTGGCCGCAGCACCGTGGTGCCACAGCTGCTGTAGGTGCCAGCCAGGAGCAGGGCCCTGGTCCCTGTGCAGTCCCTGACGTCCCCACCGTGGTGGGTCAGCCTCCAGCTGGTGATTAATGGCCCAAGGGAGGTCGTGGTGGCCGCGGGCCATGGCTAATGTCAAATAACAAATATGAATGCGGGCTGTAAATATTTATACAATGCGCAGGCACGTGCCGCCTCCCTGATGCAGGGACAAAGCTCTCCTCCTCCTCCTCCTCCTCCCTGGTGACTCACATCTCCCACAGAGCTGCCGGGGTGGCCACAGGGCTGGGGTTCCTGTGGCCCTGGCTGCAGGGCTGCCTGCCCACCCGCTGCCTGCAGGGATGTTTTGGGTCCCTGGGGAGCTCCTGGAGCACTTCTGTTCTTGGCGCTGCTGATGAGCAGTGTTTTAAAGGGAGCTGAGAGCTTTGAAGCCTCACACTCCTCCTGAGGGGATACAGGGAAGCTGGAGGGACTCTCAGGTCCCCCTTCCCCAGTGAGAAGCTTCCTATTCCCGTGAGAGGAGGTGGAGGCAGATCCCTCCAGGAGCAGGGCTGATGCTCCCCACGTGGAGCTGCTCTGGGAGCCCTGCCCGTACCTGGGGGCTGTGGGTGATGCTCAGCCCCACCTGCCCCTCAGCAGCCTGATCTCGGGCACTGCAGTCATGGAGGGGATGTGCCCACTCCAGGGCACCACATCTCCCTGCCTGCCAGAGCAGTGAGAGCCAGCTGGACAGCCTTTTGCTCACAAACCTCCACTCCACGTGCTTGAGGCTGCTCTGTTTCCCAAATACCATTAAAACCTCCACTCCCACGGCCTCCTGTCACAGCAAACCCTTGGGCATTGCTGCTTGAGGCCATTGCCAGCACGTGGAGCTCTGGATGTGATGTCCTGGGTACCACAGCACTGCATCCCAGAGAAGGGGGTTGAGGGGCAAAGGGGGATGGGGACGATGCAAATTTTGTCCATATCCCTGTGGAAGCCCCGGTGTTTTCCCAGTTCTCCCTCCTGTTTCTCACTCCTAGCTCCCAGATTTATTTAGCGTGGTCCCTGCTAATTCATGCACATTCCTTGGCACCTAAGAATAGAAAGTGATGACGATTTTTTGGGTGCCTGGTCGGCTCAGGAAACAGCTAATTGGAGACAGAGACCTTTACCTCTGCCTGGGCTGGCTCCAGCCTGGACTAGGAGTGCTGGAGCAGCATTTCCTATCATCAGACACATGAAAGGGCCAGGGAGTCTCAGGGTGACATGTCTGAGAGGGGACACAGGTTGTGCTGGTTGGGAGTGGACCCAGTGATTCACCATGTCCAGAGCCCATCATCAGGGCTGCTTGATGAGCCAGAGGCTGCTGGGATCTGTCACCTGGGGTGGTGGCTCCTGTGGGGACATGGGTGGAGCTCCTAGGCTCTCCCCTTTGCTCCCTCACGTGTCCTCTTGCAGATGTTGACGAGTGCGTGGAGGGCACTGACAACTGCCACATCGATGCCATCTGCCAGAACACCCCCAAGTCCTACAAGTGCATCTGCAAGTCCGGCTACACCGGGGACGGGAAGCACTGCAAAGGTAGGGACACGCCAGTGGCAGAGCCAGTCCTGCTGGGTGACAGCCCCAGCAGCTCAGAGGCCAGCAGTGGCTCGTCAGCCCTGACCCGTGCAAAGCAGCCCCTTGTTCACCCTGGCCCACTGTAAACCTTTTATTCCCCTCTTCTGCCCCAAATTCCTGGCCTGTTGACAGTGCATGGGGACAGAGAGGGCTCTGGCTGTCCTTGCTGGTGATGCTGGCAGCCATTGTCCTGACATGGCTGGGGCTGCCCATGGAGCTTGTTTTAAACAAAGCTGGGCTTATTTTCCTGCAGGATTTCTGACCCTGAGGCTGCACAACTGTGTTAGCAGCTAAAACACAAACTTAAAAATAAGACATAGAAACAGTGCATAGATGGTGTAGAAATCAATTTAGATGTAGATAAAGGTGTAAATCTAGATATTGATATAGGCTAGGCTTATATCTATATATAGAAAAAACTTTTTCTATATATAGAAAAAATGGAAAGAAAATGGGCTCCTTGAGGCAGCAGCAGCAGGAAAGCAGGCTTGGGTAGGTGTAAATCTAGATATTGATATAGGTGTAGGCATATATCTGTATATAGAAAAAACTGAGAAGGGAATGGAAAGAAAATGGGCTCCTTGAGGCAGCAGCAGCAGGAAAGCAGGCTTGGGGCAGGGGAAAAATTCCCAGCTGGAAGCAGGTTCAGGGTCAGGATGGGCCGAGTACAAATAGCAGAGGGATTAAAGTGCTCCAGGCACTGCAGGGCTTTGCCATGGAGACGGGCTGCTCTGCCAGCACCCTGGGAAATCCCAGGAGGTTCCCAAGCGAAAGCTGTGAGATACTGGGTTAGATGGGGCTCCAGCATCCAGACTGGGGAGAGTGGGGATGATTTTGTAGACTCTGGAGGGATGCTGCAGGTGAAAATGGAGCTGAGGAGCAGCTGCTGGAATAGGCCGAGAGAGCAGAAGCCCCCAGGGCAAATTACCCGGATGGCAAAGGTGCTGGAGCTGGGGAGCAGCACCCGTGGTGGGCAGCACCCGGGGCAGCCCTGCAGCTCTCCTGCCCTTCTCCTCTGCAGACGTTGACGAGTGTGAGCGGGAGGACAACGCGGGCTGCGTGCACGAGTGCGTCAACATCCCGGGCAACTACCGCTGCACCTGCTACGACGGCTTCCGCCTGGCACACGACGGCCACAACTGCCTGGGTGAGGGATGTCAGCCCCACAGCTCCTCAGCTGCTCCAGCACCTCAGCACCCACCTGCTGGCTTCCCTTGGTGGGCACTTCCCAGCACACAACGCCCCCAGATCTGCTGTAGAGCCGTGGTGGCACTCAGGCATGTCCTGTGCTGCAGAGGTTCCCTGGGGTCAGGATTGCTCCCTGTTACATCGCGGTGATGCCAAGGGAGGATGCTCCATGCTGGGAGGAAAATTCACTCTGTGTAGACTGGGAGGGTTGGGGTGAGGCAAAACTGGAGTTGTGGGGTGGGGAACAAGCTCCCCACAGCCCTGTCCTGCCACGGCAAGAGCCAGGCCAGCAGCTCTGTGCCGCTGCCGAGGGCAGGACCGGCTCAGCCAGGCCCTGCCGCTCGCTCCGCTCGTGCTTGAGGTCAGCCCTGCACCTGCCAAAATAGATGAGTTAATAGCAAATATGGTGGTGGGGATGGGAACCAGCGAAGGGATGGATAAATAATCCCCGGGCCAAGACAAACCCGGCATCTGCCTACGGAGCGGCCGTGCATCCTCCCCGCTACTTCCCACCGCCCCGAGCTCCATCCGGCCGCGGCGGAGCCAAGGCTCCCGTCCGAGCCCCGGGGCCCATCGCGCTGCCCGCGCCCGTCACCCGCTTCCTCCCGCGGCATCCGCGGTGGGAGCTGCGGGGCACGGGGCCGCCGCCTCCCCGCTGCCTGCAGCTCATGCTATTTTCCAATTAGCGTCTGCAGAGGGGTCATTAATGAGCTCATCACTGGAAGGAGGAGGAGGGGGAAGGGATTATGGACACATACGCTTTGCATTAAGCACCATCACCGGGATCTTTGCAGCCTCCTCGGGGAGGGGGGAGATTTACACAGCTGGGAGGAGGCGCGGGCGGGCGGCTGGCTCTGCCTTCCTCTCCCGGGGGAGGATGAGCCCGAGAAGAAGAAAGGAAAGCTGGACGTCATGTGTTTACAGAGTTGGGTGGGAGGGGATGGAGATGGCTGGGGAGCAGCCGGCCAGGCAGGGATCTGGGGGAGAGTGCTGGCTCCTACCTTGGGCCCTTCCTTAGCTCATCCCAGCATCTCATCTCTGATCCCGACCCGACCTGCCTGCATCCCCTTTGAGGCAAAAGAAAGAGAAGTAGAGCAAAGCAGCGTGTAGTGCCCAGGCTTTGCCAGTGCCATGGGCAGGAGCTGAGCTGGAGAGGGCTCAGGGTATGTACCCACCAGAGACCACCAGCCCCTGTATTGCCCATCCTGAGCAACCTTTTGAACCAGGACAGGAATTCAAGCCCCCATCCTGACACAGGCCCTGCTGGCTTTTGCCCATCTCTGTTGCCTTTAATAAAACAGGTATTAGAGAAGTGGAGTCTCATTTCAGCCATCGGGTTTGAATGGCTGCCTCCTCATTTTTGAGCAGAGCTGGAAGGAGAAGTTGCAAGACATTAAGCCCTTGCTCTAAGCAGGAGGATTTGAGGAGGGTTATTGGCATCTGCAGGACATAGCTTGGCTGGGATGAGCACTGGAGGAAGCCACGAGCCTCCTGCCATCACAGAGGATGTCCCTTTATGCCTGGCTGCAGCCCAGGTGTCAGCCCTCACTGCCCTGTGGGTGAGAGGGTGTTTCCAACACCTCCTTTCCAAGACAGCAAGTTTGTGGGGTGCTCCTGGGCTCTGCTGCCTGGCACTTCCAGCTAGACCTGCAGCCCTGCTTTGATAATTCTGAGCAAACCCTCAGCCTTGCCAGGGGTTGGGGCACAGTGCAAGGCCCCCACACTGCTCAGGCATCCATCTATCCATCCCTTTTACCCAAAAGCAAGGGCTGTGGGTGTGTGCTGAGCTGTGCTGTGTGGGGAGGGGGCTGTTTGGGAGCCCCTGGCCGTGCCGTCGCTCAGCCGCTCTCCCGGCGTTCCCGGTGATGCTGTAGGGCTCAGTTTTCCCCTCAGCCGTGGCTCTGCAACGCTCGAGTTCACAGGACGTTTTCTTTGGCATGGGGCCCCTCGCTTCCCAGCCTGACACCATCACCCAGCCCCGTGGGCAGAGGGGCAAGGGGCAGCCACAGAACAGATTTGTTTCTGCCCGAGCCCGGAATCCTGGTTCCTCTGGCACCTCAGGGCACTGGTGAGTTCAGCTTCCACCACTGTCCCCAAAAAGCCTCTAGAGAGAGCGATGGGCAGTTAGGCTTCATTAAATGCAGGTTTTGCAGGGCTGGAGCAGGAGCAGCCTGGGGCCAGGGCACTGCTGCTGTCATGGGGCCACATCTCAGCCCCTTGCAGCCTTGGCTTGTTAAACCAAAACAGGTGTGAGGGCAGCCGAGCAGCAGAGCAGGGGATGTGAGTCTCCTTACAAGTAATTATCCCTGCTCTGGGCTAAGGTTTCCCAGCTCCTCCTAATGAAGTGCAGGCATCCCCAGCTGGCGACAGGCTCCGAGGGGCTGGGAGCAGGGGCCGGCTGCAGCCAGCATCCTGGATGAGCATCCTGGGTGCTTTGGGTTTTCTGGGACAAGGCAAAGCCCTTTCTCTGTGGTCTGGTGTTCTCTTCTGTAAAATGAGGTCATCAAGCTGTATGATCCCTGCACCCATTCCTGCCGTGCTTTGCCTTCATCCCCCACCCTGTCAAGCATTCCCCTTCCTTCCAGCTGGGGGGAAGCAGATGTGTGCCACCCAGTCCCCATCCCCTTGGTGTGCCACGCAGCTGTGCTCACCCCCTGCCACCTTCCCTCTGCAGACCTGGACGAGTGCTCAGAGGGCAACGGTGGCTGCCAGCAGACCTGTGTCAACATGATGGGCAGCTACGAGTGCTTCTGCCGGGAGGGCTTCTTCCTCAGTGACAACCAGCACACCTGCATCCAGCGCCCCGAAGGTCAGTGCTCAGCACTTCCACGCCCTGGGCCACCCTCCATCCCTGGGTTTATCAGCCAGCTCTGTCCTGCTCTGGCCTCTGCCTCTCCTGCCTGGGTCTAGCTGCTGCTGCTGGGTTCTTGGTGTGGCAGATTTGGAAGTGAATCTATGGCAGGCATGTTGGGAGAGGTGATAAATGTCCTGCAGCAAAAGCCCCACAGGTCCCTTGTCCAGGCACAGCAATACTGAGCCAGGGACATTAATCCTATGCCCAGAGGAACTTACTGGTAAATGGAAGGACCTGGAGGTCCTCACACCACCTTGAGACACATCTTCCCTGCCAGGTCTTGCACAGCACCGAGCCCTTCATCTCAGAATCAACTCTAAATTGTTGCCGTCTGGAGCAATCTCTGAGCCAAAATAGGAGGAAATGAGAGATTTTTTCGTCTCTGCTGATTTTTATCTCTGCTGCTTGGCAAAGCCAGCTGAGTGTTTTTGCTTTCCTCCTTCCCCCTTCCCAGCTGTGTTGGTCACTCCAGCTCCCCAGGAATGTCACCCTGGCCAGGACAGCTGAGCAGTGGCATCTCCTGTGTCCCATCCCTTGCGTGTCCAGGAGGGATGAGCTGGCTGCTCCGTCCTGCTGGTGCCACAATGAGTGGTTCCTGCTGGGGACAGGGATGCAGGTGCTGGCTCCTCAGCTCAGTGGAGTTTAAAGCCACCGAGAGATGTGGGAGCAGGGTCTCACCCAAGGTGGGAGGCAATCAAAGGCTGAAGGTGGTTTTGTCCACCTTCCCAAGGAGCTCTGTGCCAGGAGCTGGCCAGGGTTATCCTGTCCCCACAAGGTCCTCATTGACAAGGTTTCCCCCACTGCCATCAACTCCCCATCCCATCCCACCTCAGACGTCCCTCTGCCACTGCTGACCAGAGCCAGCAGCTTTTGGAGCATTTCTTCGCTTCCTTTCCTCCTTTAGAAGGCATGAACTGCATGAACAAGAACCATGGCTGTGCCCACATCTGCCGGGAGACCCCCAAAGGGGGCATCGCCTGCGAGTGCCGCCCCGGCTTCGAGCTCACCAAGAACCAGCGGGACTGCAAACGTAAGGAGCACTGCAGGGCTGGGGATACCACCTCCCAGGGACCCCCTAACCCTGTCCCCATGGCACAGGCACGCCCTGCCCCTGCAGCAAAGCCCTGACCAGGGTAGCAGTTGGTTCATCGAGCCTGAAGCTCAGCATGCTCAGCTCTGTTGCCCATACAGACGATGCTTCTGGCAGCCCCCTTTGCTCTGGGATGTTGTGTCCTTACATGACCAGGCTGAAATGGCAGTTCAAGGGGGTCCCAGAGGCTCAGCATCCCCTGTTCTTGTCCCAGTGTTTCACTTTCCAAAGGGGAGGTGAACGAGGAGAGTGCAATTGGCATGTGAGGAGCGCAGGAATCCTCTCCCTGGGGGTTGTGGTGCTCTCAGCCTGTCTGATCTCCTGCCAGCATCCCACTGGCAGTGCCAGGGTTATTAAATAGATATGTGTGTGTTTATGCAATTATTTTTATTTTGTTTCTCATTTGCTGCGTGCAGCAAATGTGTAAAATCGCTGATGAAATGCAGGTTTAATCCTAAACTAAATGAACAGCACACCTTGCCCTCTGGGGAGGGCTGGCAGGGATTCCCAAAAGCTCCTGTGTCATTCCAAAGCTCAGGAAAGCTTCACCCCTCCCCTGCAGCACTGGATTCAGGGTCAGGGCCAAGCAGACCACCAGTCCCCTTTGCTTGGACTGCACTGGTGGCATTTAGCAGATATGTAGAGGGAAGACATGAGAAACCACAGAGCAGCCTGCATGTGCTAAGATCCCACAGGGAAAGTGAAGGGCTTTGGGAATTACCTGTGAGGGAAGGAGGAAGGAAGGGAAGGAGGGAGGGAAATCTCTGAGGGTACAGATGAGGTGTTTCCAGCCAGCTTTGTGTGCTACACGAGGATGGTGGGCAGGGAAGAGGAGCTGGGCCCACGGTGACGCTGGTGCTTTGCTCCCACAGTGACCTGCAACTACGGGAACGGGGGCTGCCAGCACACCTGCGACGACACCGAGCAGGGCCCCAAGTGCGGCTGCCACGTCAAGTTCCTGCTGCACTCGGACGGGGTCACGTGCATAGGTGGGTCAGGCCGTCGCCCACGCAGGGCTCGGGTGTGGGATGCCTCCTCTTCCTCGCTCGGGGATTTGCCCTTGGCCTGGTGAAGGTTTTGCCCAAGCCTTGGGCGATTTCCTTTTGCTGAGACCGGGGAAGCTCAGCATGTGTGTGAGGGATGCTGCAGAGCCTGGGGATGTGTCTGCACAGCCACAGGGAGCAGAAGTGATCTTGGTGGTGCTTCAGAGGACACCTGGGGACAGGTTGATGTGCTGGGGTGTGAGCAGGGGTCGCTGCCTGCTTCTGTGCTGCTGAAGAGAGAGCTGTGGGGATGTCCTCATGCTGGGAATTGTTGCTGTCGCTGTCGCGGGCAGCTTTTGAGGAGGGATGTGGAGGGGGCAGGTTTGCCCACAGCAATCTGTTCCGACTTGGTATTGTGGGGCCTTGGCTCAAGAACAATTGTCTTGCAAAAAAAAAAAAAAATACAAAACCAAAACCCCAACAACCTGACAACTCAACCACCCCCAGAATTGTCCTTTTCCTGTGTGTGTTTTCAAATTGTAAAACATCAAGCAGAGATAGAAGTTTTACTGGTTTCATATGCTTGTGCTGTTTAACAGCTGCTTCGATTTAAAAAATGTTATATTTGGGGAGTGATTAAGTCCACAATTGCTTGAGACATTTGAGTTCTTACTGCAAAATGAAAAAGAAAAAGGAACTGGAAGCAAGAGAGGTTTTGGCTGCCCGTGTCCCTGCTGTGCCTGAACAGAAAACCCTTCGTGCTTTCCACAGACGGCTCCGTCCTCAGGGCAGAGGATCCCCCTGAGCCCCTGGCTGCTCCCTGCCAGCTCGAGGGCTGTTTGGGGCTGAGACCCCAGCAAAGCCCTCCTCTCATCAGCTCACTGCTGCTTTAATGTCACTGCTGTCCCCCAGCCTGCTCCCAGGGTGGATCCCAATCCCTCCTGGCTGCTGGCAGGCGCTCCCAGCCCCTGGTCCCCGCCGTTCTCCTGTTTGTTCCCACAGCCACTGCGTCCTGTCCCCCCTCTGAGGACACTCCCAGGGGGTTGTTGCTGTGCTGGGTGGGGAGCTCTGCTCCAGCAGGGAGCTCAGGAGCCCGGGGTGTCAGCTGGTGGGTTCCTCCTGGATGAGGAGCCCTGTGTGCGGCGTCTGGCTTGGGCAGGTTTGGGATGCCCCTGACCTGCTGGGTGTGGGGGGAGAGAGCAGCTCTCCAAAGCATCTCATGGTCTGGGGGGAGCTTCAGAGCAGTCTGTTTGCTGGGGGGGTGGTCTCTGCACTCAGACCCTGGGTACCACAGGTGTGAGGGTGGCATTTGGAAGTTTCCAAAACCACTCATCCTCTTGTCCTTGGCCAAAGTCTCCCTCTTTGTCCCCATGCCCTGCATTGTACCTGCTGGGGAGGCATCTCCCACCAGAGCCAGCACACCCCTGTGAGCTCTCCCCTTGTCTGCCTTTCCAGGATAAATCAAACACTGCACTAGAGGATTTTAGGAGCAGCCCCAGCCCAAAGCCCACCACCACACCACGCCTGTCTCATGCCTTTGGGCTCTGCAATCCCCTCTCACAGGAAGGGGCCTGCCCAGCTCCTGCACTCCCTGGGGATTCCCCATCCCCAGCCCCACCGTGGGAACACCAAGGGCTTGTGCTCCAGCCTCGGGGAGCCAGCACTGCCCCGTGGGGATGCCCAGCCAGCAGATTTACAGCCGAGGTACCTGCTCGGATATTTATAACCAGCCTTTCCTTTTTTATGGCTGGGGCACAGCAAACAGCCCTCCCCCCATCCACGCTGCCCCCTTCACCGCCCCTTCCCCATTTCCTCCAAAATATTTCATCATTTCAAGGGGAATAAAGTTTCCAGTGAGGGGAAACGCAAAGTCGTTCCCCGGGCCATGGGCTTTGAAATTGAACGCGGTGTGTTTGATGGGCTGCCGGGACAGGCCCCTGGTCCAGGTTCCCTTCAGATCACACCACGCGGCAGGAAGCACGATCAGCCCCTCTGAGTGACAGTTTCATTAGGCCACGGCCGGTGTTTTTCATTTTTCTGCTTTTTATTGCTGCTTTTAAAAATGCAGATAATGAGGAACATGCCTCTAAGCACAGGGGCCATCACTAATGGCTCCCAACATGTCTGCAGGCACGAGGGGGAGGGGGAGCCGGGAGGGGAAGCCAATGACCTTATATATTTATATTTATGCTCCAAAAGCAGCCTTAAAAAAAAACAAAAAACCAGAATAAAAAAAAGCATATAAAACAGCCCTCCAGCAGCCAAGGGTGCAGTGCCCGCGGGGAGATGCAAAAACAGCTGTCACAGTTGATGCAGATTTTGGCTTTCCAGGAAGATTTATTAGCCAGGGCATCATTGCAGCTCCCTCCCACCTACATTTGGGGTGCAGCAGGGCTATTGCTGACCCCCTACTTGTGGCGACCCTTGGTGGAGCAGGAGGGGGTGAACGGGGAAGAAATACAGTTAGATGGAGAAGGAAACTAACCCCAGCTCAAGTTTTATGGCTGATTTCCTGAGCCAGCCTGGGCGCTCTGCGGTGCTCCCCGGCCTTGTGGGGCTGGCAGTGCTGGGAGCTCTGGGCCCACAGCCGGGGTGCACTGACCCACGGGTGAGGCTGAGCAGCCCAAACACCCCCAGGCTTGGGGCTGGCAGTGCTGGGAGCTCTGGACCCACAGCCGGGCTGCACTGACCCACGGGTGAGGCTGAGCAGCCCAAACACACCCAGGATTGGGGCTCGCTGCTGGCTTGGCTGCTAGATCCGAGGGGTGTGAGTGCCACAGGCGGGGTGTGGTTGCCTTCCCAAAGGCCGTGGCTGCGTGGCTCCGCTCGGGGATCACCCCCTGCCCTGGCACGTGCTGGTTCTGTTCACAGCCAGGCGACGACCTGGCTCCCCAGACTAACAGGCTGCACTAACGCTCCTCATAACGCGCTTCTCCCGCTCGCATGGGGCTCCAGCCAGCCCAGCACAGCTGGAGGGGGTTTGGAGAGGCTGAGGGGCTCCGTGGAATGCTTGGGAGGTGGGAGAGAAAAAGCCCAAAGGGACAGTTTCCACCAGGCTGGAAATGCAGCAGAGTTGAACCCATTGATGTGTGACACCAACCAAGTTCCCTGCTGGACACTGATTCTAAATCACTTTTTTATAATGTTAAACAGGGGAGAGACACTTCCAGCAACACGTTATCCTTGAGACGTTTTCTAATGGTAAATATTTTTGTTCTCTCTATCTCTACGAAGGGGTCTAACCGTAGATGGTCTCTCCTTTGGAGATCATGGCGGGGCTCGGGGGCTGAGCTGCTGCGCTACCCGCATGTCTCACTAACCCTGCCCCACTGCTGCTCCAAACCCTGCCAGGCCAGCCCAGCCCGGGCTGGGGGACAGCAGGGAACCTCCCCCTGCTGTGCTTGCATGAGACGGGGCTCTCACGCTGCTTTGGTGGATCCAGCCCGGTGCCAGGGGTGACAATCTGCTTTCCAGGGGCTGTGGCAGTGGTTACCCCCACACCCAGGAGGAGCTCACAGTGGGCTGCCAGCAGCTGTGTGGTGGGGAGGGGGATGCTTGTGCCCATCTCTGTGCTGTGCACTCCCAGTTATCCCTTCCTAGAGCCCACCCACTCCAGGATGGTCCCCTCTGGGACCTTCAGGGTGTCCCAGGGTTTGGCCTTGCCACACACAGTGGCTCTCAGCCCAGAGCTGCAGAAATGGCTCTTTACAGGGCTGGGCACCTCCCCAGGGATTTTTTTGCATCCCCATGGGGTCTCCAAGCCCTTCACAAAGGTAAGGTGATGCCTCTGCTCTGCCACCAAGGAAACTGAGGCAGAAGGTGCAGCAAGTTGTTTGTAGTGGGGAATCTTGTTCCTGGATGTGCTGGTTGCAGGCAAACCCCTGGCACACCCAGGAGCTGTGGGAGCTCAGCTCACCAGCACAGGGAGCACAGACTGCAGCTTTGGGGGGCTCTGAAGAGCCTTTCACACAGGGCTGGGAGAAGGGGGGAACCCAGATCTGTGCCATCACCACGCTCCAGCCAGCCCAGCTGTTATCCCCTCTGGCTCGTGGGCTCACATCCTGCTGAGATTGTCACTTCTCAGAAGGGGGAGGTGAGGCCAGAGTGTCACCAGCACTGAGGGTGCTGAGCAGGGCGAGGAGTGCCATGGCACAGCAGTCAGGCAGTGACAGCAGAGCTGGGATGGAAGAGGGTGGAGAAGAGTCTGAGTGTGTGTGTTTGTGTGTGAAGCTTTGTCCTCTCCCTGCCTGAGCGATGGAGGCCTCACCAAAGCCCTGTGTGGCTGGTGAGTCACGCCAGGCTGGGAGCAGCCCTGGGCTGCCAGCTCCGCCGAACAATTGCTGCTCCCCGGGGCAGTTCTGGGGCCCAGCCCCCTGCCACCAACCTCCACTGCCTCACAGGTACCCCAGCAGCCCCCTCCAAGCTTTCTGCAGACCCAGAACAGGGTCCCCCCTTCACAGAGGGGTTTGCAGTGGTGCTCTGGCCGTGCTGAGCTCACACCCAATGCCCACCCTGGGCAGCTGCAGTGCCACAGGGTGGGACTGGCTTTAACCTCAGGTGAAATTCCCCAAGGTGCAAATCGGCCAGGAGGGGTGCCACAGTGCTGGAGGAGGCTGTGAGCACGATGACTGTGCCCAGGGCACCACATTGTCTGGAGAGCTCCATCCTCCCTGCTGCAGCTGCTTCTCCAGCTCCATCCCGCTGGCAGCAGCACCTGAGCCAAACCAGTCTTCTCATCTCAGCGGTGACCCTGCTCAATCAATCCTCCCCGGGCTGCTTCTGCATCAGCTGCTGCAACAAAGGCTGGCGTTAGACAAATGACTCGCTGGCCTTTCAGAAAGTTTCCCTTCCCCTGGGCGCTGTCACCCGCCCCGTGTCCCTGGCACGGCTGGGCCAGAAGCGCGAGGACCTGGCTGGAGGAATAATATCTGCAGAAATCCTTCCCCTGCCGTTAGGTTTTGTAATTGTGCTGGCGATTAATTTCATAAAATGGTCCCTTTTGTTCTCTTATTATGGGACATCATAAAAATAGCAGTGGCAAGACGAGCACAGAGCGATCCCAGCTCCCGGGCCCCGCGGCAAATGGTTGGATGCTTCAGTCATTCCTGCCCCATGTGGTGCTTGCAAAGAGCAGGAGAACCTGGGATTTGCTCTTTCCAAGGAATTTCTTCAAGGCATTTTCATCTTGGGTTCCTTGAAGCCCAAATGCCTCATTTATCCAAGCAACCAGCCTTCTGAAAGGAATATTTTATTATCCTTTGTGAACAACTTAATGCACTTCAAACCATTGTTCTGGTGGTTAGGGTTGAAATTGAGGATTGATCTCACAGGGAAGCTGTCAAGCTGAAAATGCTTCATTTAAATTAGTGTCCCTTCTAGTCCTACCAGCAACAGCTGACTTTGATAATACTGAAATAATTAGCTCTTTTTTTTTTCAGTTGGGTTTTTTTTCCACTGATGCTGCCTGCCTCTGAGTGTGTGTTTTAATTACATGATGTGTCTCCCAAATTAGCCTGAGACACTGGACCAGCCACCGTGCCTGAGCAGTGGGTGACAGTGAGGGACTGACAGCACAGGGTCACCCGTGGCTTTGTGGCTCTGTGGCTTGGTGACAGCGAGGGGGACAGGACCCCCTGCCACCCCACCCAGGACTGGGGCTGTGCACCCACATCCCAGGGAGCTGCAGCCTAGCAGGACCTGTGTCTGGCTGCTTTGCACAAGTGCTATGGCTTTGTCCCTGGGAAATGGAATTCCTCCTCTCTGGAGCAGCCGAAGTGGCCCCCACAAGGCCCTGCTTTGGGGCACAGCAGCCTCCATGTGTTCATCATTTCATGCTCTGTGGCCTCCTTGCTGTGCTGGGAGAGCCAAGGGAGGTTTCCATGGGCTCTGCAGGGACGTTTGTACCCACTGCCACTCCCAGGCCATGGCAGGGGGGACATCTGGGTGGCGTGGCTCCCCCAGCCTTTTGAACACCGGTCCCTCACCCCAGCCTTTCTCTCCCTTGCCATGCAGAGACGTGTGCTGTGAACAACGGGGGCTGTGACAGCAAGTGCCACGACGCGGCCACCGGCGTCCACTGCAGCTGCCCCATGGGCTTCATGCTCCAGCCCGACAGGAAAACGTGCAAAGGTGGGTGTGAGTGGGGCTGGGGGCTCGCTGCTCACCCCTGGCTGCCTCAGTGCCCTCAGAAAAGGCTCAGGTTTAGCTCAGCTGGGCATTGTCCCCAGTGCTCACTGGCTTGGGGTTTGCATCCCTGGGGTGGGGACAGGAATCTCCCCCCTGCATGGGGACTGGGAAGCCTTGCTGCAGGCACCATGCTTGGCCCTGTGCCCCTGGGAAGCCTGTGGGGAGGAGGAAAAGGGGGTCAGGTCAAGTTGGAGGCAGCCCTTGTGGGGCTAGGGGGTCCTGTCCCATCTCACTCCTCCCCACTGTCTGAGCTGCCCCCGGGGAAGGGCTGGATGTGCAGGGAATGCACACCTGCTCTGGGAGTGTGAGATGCACAGGTTCCTCCTGGGACACTGCCCAGCCAGGTCTGAGCACCATGTCCCACATGGGGGAGAACACCCCGAGATGCTGCACGTCCCACCAGCATCCCCCCCACCTGTCCCTGCCAGGAGGGCAGTCCAGGCTGCTTTCCCTGCACCCCAAATTTCCCCCCTCAGGGCAGGCCAGTGCCTGCATTGTGTCTTCTGGCAGCTCTCAGAACTTGACCCCAGCTGAAAGGAAAGCCTGTCCCTCTTCTGGCTGCCTGTCTACCTGTTGACTGCTTCCAGAGCCCCTTGTCCCTGGTATTTTATCAGAGCATCCACCCCTCTGCAGTTCTGCAGTTTCCAGCGATGTGCAATAACCCAGAGCCACGTCCCCTGTGTCTGGGGTTTTATTATGGCTGCAGGCAGCTTTACAGCTTGCTCCCTCACAGTCATAAAAAGAAACCTCAGCCCAGCGAGGCAGAGCTGCTGCCCCAGCCCTGGGGGATGGAGGGACAGGGCAGGCTGCTGCCTCCTCCTGGGCTCCTTCCATTTCAGAGGTCGTTTCCTAACAGTAAATTTTGTGATTAGTGACAAACAAGCCACATCAGCCACGTTCCCCTGCTGACCACCAGAGCCCAAAGGTCTCCATTGTCCTGCCCATGGTGGGGACAGCATCCAGAGGGGAGCACTGGGCTCTCCTGGCCAAGCCAGGGTGTGACCCTTGGGGTCCCTTGTCCCCCCCAGACATTGACGAGTGCCGGCTCAACAACGGCGGCTGTGACCACATCTGCAGGAACACGGTGGGCAGCTTCGAGTGCAGCTGCAAGAAAGGCTACAAGCTGCTCATAAACGAGAGGAACTGCCAAGGTAAGGGGCACTGAGTGCCCAGGCCCCCTGCCCTGGCCCTGCCTGCCCTCCCATGGCTGCTGCTGCACAAGTGCTGCTCATTCCTCTGGCCCTTCCTGTGCACTGCATGCATCCTTCAGGGGATTAGTGCTAGGTTCAGGCTCTGCTTTGGGGCTCAGCCCTTCAGCCTCAGAGCTGGGGTCTTCTGGGCTTTTGCAGAATTAGAAAAATGCCAGGGTTCCCAGTTCTTGGAGGGCAGGAATGGGGAGAAGATGTCTCCTGCTCACTCCACAGGCACTTCCACCTTTTTCTCCCTGTCCCAACATCTTTCTGCACATCTCACATAAGCCCAGCAGGTCACTGCTGCCCCCGCAGCCCACGGCCAAGGTCAGCACGGCAGGTGTGCTTGAGCCTGAGTGTTGCCTCCTGAAAACACGGGGCCGGGGAAGGAGGGGGCTGGCAGCTCCGGGGCTGCCACTGCTTTCATCTCCGTCCAGGTTCTGTGCTCCGCGAGTTTGACGTGAGTGCAGCAATTAACTTAATGAAGCCAATGAAATGATGCTCCAGCCCACCGGGTTGGGTTCACCTCCCAGCCGGGGCCTCCCTGCCCCGGCGAGGTGCCCGCGGGGCCGAGCAGACATTGCTGGCACCGTCCCCGGGGCAGGACCTGCCCGCACAGCGTTCCTGATCCCTCCCTGGCATCCTCCCGGTCCCTCCCTGCCCTGGCCGGGCAGCAGCCGGGGGCTCTCGCATCCCTCCCGTGCCAGGGACAGGATGCTGGCCCTGTTTGGGGTGCAGAGGGGCTGCAGGAGCTTGGGCAGGGGGTGCTGGTGCAGCGGGTGACAAGGAGCTTGGGGAGGAGGGAGCACAGGGCTCTGGAGCATCCTGGATGCCCAGAATGGTACTGAATGCCCAGAGCAATGTGGTTCTGGACCCTTGGAGGGTTCCAGTGCAGGGTTCCACCGAATGCCCAGAGCTGTGTGGTTGTGGACCCTTGGAGGATTCCAGTGCAGGGTTCCACAGCATCCCAGCACAGCCTGCTGGAGCAGCTGGAGCAGGAAGGGGACAATCCTGTGCCCCTCTGCCGTGCCAGCTCTCACCTCCTCCCCTTGCCCTTCCTCCAGACATCGACGAGTGCTCCTTTGACCGGACCTGCGACCACCTGTGCATCAACACCCCGGGCAGCTTCCAGTGCCTCTGCCACAAGGGCTACACGCTCTACGGGCTCACCCACTGCGGAGGTAGGGCTGTCACCCCGCGGGACCCCTGGGCACACTGCCCACCCCCAGGGCCCCTGGGCAAGCTCGGTTCCACGCACAGCCCGGGCTGAGGCCGGGCAGGGACGGCGCTCACAGCCAGACTCGCTGGTGTCTGCAACTTCAAACAGAGCGACAGGAACAATTTGCGACTTGTCTGCAGCGGGAGAGAGGGAGAAATCCCCGGCGTTTTTGGCAGGGAGCTGTGACGGGGTGGGAAGGGGAACATCAAAAGGGTTTGATTCAAATTTCACAAGGCAGATAGCTCCCAAGGGCGGGGGCGTGCTGCGCCCGGGGAGCGGGGAGGAGGATGGAACGCGCTGCCGGAGCGTGTTGTGGCAGCGGTGCCGGGGGCTCCAGGGCTGCCCGGCGGGCGGGGGTCCGCGACCCTCCTCATATTTCCGAACTACGCGGTCAGCGTGAGCCAGCGCAGCGCCTGGGGCTGTCTGGGGTGGCCCTGCAGCAAAGGGATCGATGGCTCCCACCATGTGAGGGGGAGCTGTGCAGGGAGGGCTCTGGCAGGGACAGCTCCATCCCTGACCTGGAGGATCAGTTCAGGCCGGGGGGCCCTGCTGAAGAGAGCAACGTGGGCTGACTGAGCACTTTTCTAAGTGCTTCCATGTCGGCTCCATCTGCTGTGCCCCCAGCCCACCAGGGGCTGGGGCTGGGCTCAGCCTGGATGGGCTGCACCCCTCCCTGGGGACACGGGGAGTTGGGCTGTCCCTTATCCCCACGGAGCTGGCACAGCTGGAAATGCCCTGAGGTGCAGCCCCCCTGTCCCAGCTGGGCTTGGATTTATCCATCAGAATCCCAGCCTTGAGACAATGCAGTGATTCAGTGTCAGAGCCGAGGGGTTCCCCTGCCCCTCACCCACTGCCCCTCACCCACTGCCCCTTCCTCTGTCCCCTCAGACATCGATGAGTGCAGCATCAACCGGGGTGGCTGCAAATTCGGCTGCATCAACACTCCTGGCAGCTACCAGTGCACCTGTCCTGCGGGCTGCAAGCTGCACTGGAACAAGAAGGACTGTGTGGGTACGTCAGGCCAGGAGCCAGCAGGGCTGCTGGGGGAGCTGGGGGCTTTGGGGTGCCAGGCTGGGGTCTCTGTGCTATTCTCTGGCACCTTCTCCTCCCCAGTGAATCCCCCCTGAGCTGGAGGGGGGGTCTCTGGGGTCTCTGAGCTGTGCCAGCCATGGGCATCCCTGGTTGTCATCACCAGCTGGTGCTTGTCCCTTGGAGCTGGTGAAGTGCCTGCCAGGTTCGGTGCCACCACGGGCCACCCTCACCTGCAACAAGACGGGCAAGAAGGACAGCTGTGCCCTCTCCTGCACCTCCAAGGCCCGATTTCTGCCAGGTACTGGTACTAGTGCCACCACCAGCATGAGCAGGGGGGTCCCCATTTCCTTGCATGGCTAAACTGAGGGGAGAGGAGTGGCTACACAGCCAGAGTGCAGGAGGGAGGGATGTTGTTGCTTAGAAGGGCTCACTGTTGGGTGTAGATCCACGGGCCAGGTCCCTGGTGCTGGATCTCCATGGCAGGGTGCTGGGCACAGCCTGCCTGCATGCCCCTGGCAGAGCCAACTGCCCTTACTCCTCACAGAGTCTGACAGCAGCTACACGGTGAGCTGTGGCACCCCCGTCCTGCGGCAGGGCAGCCAGCACAGACCCACCAACAGCAGCCAGCAGTGCCTCGGTAAGGGGGCTCCTGGGGTGCCCGCCAGCCTGGCTGGGCCGTGCCAGGTTGCTGAGCACCCGCCTGTTCTTTCAGAGACTGTGGCTGCGCCTGTCAAGCAGAAAGCCTCCTTCAAGATCAAGGATGCCAAGTGCCACCTGCACCCCCGGGCCAAGGGCAAGCAGGAGGAGCCCGGGAAGGCCGGGGCACAAGGTGAGGTGTGGTGGAGGGGAGGTGGGGGTGCCCGTGCCCAGCAGGGACGGGGTGCTGACTGTCCCCCCCGTGCAGGTGGCTCGGCACCCTGCTCTGACTGCCAGGTCACCTTCGTCAACCTCAAGTGCGACTCGTCCAAGAAGGGGAAGGGGCGCCGGGCCCGCAACTCCCCCAGCAAAGAGGTGACACGAATCACCCTGGAGTTTGAGGCCGAGATCAAGCCCGAGGAGATCACAGGTGGGCACAGCACTGGCCTGACCCATCTTGGGGGGACCAGGGGCACCATGCCATCCCCATGCAGCAAGGAGAGATAAACCAGTCCTCATCTTGCACTGGATTGGCACATGCTGGGTACCACTTGCAGCTGAGCATTTTGGGGGATGGTTTTAATGTTTCTGGGCTTCCCTCTCCACCCCTCCCTTCTTACTGCATCCCTGCTTCCTCCTGTGCCCCCATTCCCCTCTGCACCACCCAGCCAGCTGCAACCTGCACTGCCTGCGACAGAGAGTGGAGAAAAAGCTGAAGTCGGCCATCAAAGCCCTGAAGAAATCCATCAACCAGGAGCGGTTCCTGCTGCGCTTCTCAGGCACGGAGTACGAGGTGGCCCGGAAGCTGAGCGTGGCCCCGGAGCGCCAGGAGAGCTGCGGGCCGGGCCAGCAGCGCCTGGCCAGCAAGTGCGGTAAGGAGCGTGGCGGGGTGCCGCGGGGGCCCGGCGGGGACAGCCCCCGCAGCGTCACCCACGCCCCCCCCGGCTCTCAGTCAGCTGCTCGCAGGGAACCTATTACCACGGGCAGACGGAGCAGTGCGTGCCCTGTCCCCCCGGCACCTACCAGGAGAAGGAGGGGCAGCTCTCCTGTGACCTGTGTCCCCGCGGAGACACCTTCGGACCCATAGGAGCCACCAACATCACCGGCTGCACCGGTAAGGAGGGCACGGCTGGGGCTCGAGGTGCACTCGGGATGTGTAGGGCTGCAATTTCAACCATTAGGCAGCAGATAGGAAAGTTTTGGTCATCCCCAGGGCTCACAGGAGCTGCTGGTTTGGGTGTTTGTTATTTAAAGGGGACCCCAGGAAGGGCAGCACTTGCTCTGGGTGCTGCCGAGGCTGAGGGGGAAGAGGATCTGGGTATGGGGCAAGAGAGCCCCCGGGGCATGTGGGGTGCCAGGGCTGAACAATGCCTGTGCCTGCAGGTCAGTGTCCCCCTGGGCAGCACTCTGCTGATGGCTTCAAGCCCTGCCAGCCGTGTCCCCGTGGGTCCTACCAGCCCGAGGTGGGACGGGCGCTGTGCTTCCCCTGCGGCGGGGGGCTGACCACCCGCCACGAGGGAGCCCTCTCCTTCCAGGACTGCGACACCAAGGGTAGGTCACACTGGTGCCCAGGACGGGGCCGCCCAGCAGGGCTGTGCCAGCAGCTGACACAGCCCCCTGTGCTCCCTGACCCCCCAGTTCAGTGCTCCCCTGGGCACTACTACAACACGAGCGTGCACCGCTGCATCCGCTGCGCCGTGGGCACCTACCAGCCCGACTTCCGGCAGAACTACTGCATCTCCTGCCCTGGCAACACCACCACCGACTTCGACGGCTCCACCTCGGTGTCCCAGTGCAAAAGTAGGCGAGCTGGGGTGCAGCAGAAGGGGGGGACAGGTGTGGGCTCCTCCTTCAAGAGTGTTTAAAAGTCCTGCAGAGTTTGGGGTCATTTCAGTGCTTTGTGCATGCAGGCAGGCACGGGGGGTTGCCCAGTGGGACACTGCCCAGTGGAACTCTCCCCCCAGTGCCCCCGTGCCCTGGCTCCCAGCTGAAGTGCTCTCCCTGCCTTGCAGACCGGCAGTGTGGAGGGGAGCTGGGTGAGTACACGGGCTACATCGAGTCCCCCAACTACCCCGGGAATTACCCCGCCAACATCGAGTGCACCTGGAACATCAACCCCCCGCCCAAGCGCAAGATCCTCATCGTGGTGCCAGAGATCTTCCTCCCCTCCGAGGATGAGTGCGGCGACGTCCTGGTCATGCGGAAAAACTGTAGGTAACCGAGCTGGCCGCGGTGCTCAGGGGAGGAGCTGGGGAGGAAGAGGCTGGGCTTTGGCAGAGAGGGAGGAAGGTGCATCCCCGGGCAGCAGGAGGGGGGTTTTGGGAATAGGGTGAGTGGGGAGGTGAGCAGCACCCTGCCCTCCTGGTGTCTTGTTGGATCTCTGTGCTGGGCTGCACACCTGGGCCTCAGCCTTCATTTTTGGGGTTAAAAGTCTCATTTGGTGCTTTCCAGAGCAAGGAAGGAATAGCAATTCCTGGTAACACGAGGGTTAGGGGTGCTCAGCCTTGCCCAGCATGGACAATTCCCATCCCTGATGCCACCCTTGACCCAGTAAGGCTGGGGGTAGCTCTGCTGATGGGCAAGCAGCATCCTGTGTCCCTTTGCTGTTCCCTGCAGCCTCGCCATCCTCCATCACCACCTACGAGACCTGCCAGACCTACGAGCGGCCCATCGCCTTCACCGCCCGCTCCCGCAAGCTCTGGATCAACTTCAAAACCAGCGAGGCCAACAGTGCTCGGGGCTTCCAGATCCCCTATGTCACCTACGACGGTGAGCACGGGATGGAAATGCCACCCCAGCACGCTGGTGCTTCTGCCCCCCACAGTTTGGGATCCAGTTCACACCTCCTCTGTGTCTGGGGGAGTGGACTGAAGGATGGAGGCCAGAGCTTTGGGGACAAGGGGCAGCTCATGCCCTGTGTTTTTTGGCAGAGGACTACGAGCAGCTGGTGGAGGACATCGTGAGGGATGGAAGGCTCTACGCCTCTGAGAACCACCAGGAGATCCTCAAGGTGAGCCCCCAAGTCTGTGTTACCCCGGGCTGTGGGGGATGCAGGAGCATCCTTCCTGTCTCCTGCTCTCCTTCCACTTGGGGCTTCAGGAGAGCACGGGGGGGATGCTGAACCTCCCTCTGGCTCTGCAGGACAAGAAGCTCATCAAAGCTTTCTTCGACGTGCTGGCACACCCCCAGAACTACTTCAAGTACACAGAGAAGCACAAGGAGATGCTGCCCCGCTCCTTCATCAAACTCCTGCGCTCCAAAGTCTCCAGCTTCCTCCGGCCTTACAAATAGCCCCCCCCGCCCCGGGCCGCCCCGCAGCCGAGGAAACCCTCTTCTCCCTTCCTTCTCCTTCCTGATTTTCCCTTCCTCCGCCTGGCTCCGGCAGGATCGCCACTGCTCGCCCCCCGCGGTTCCCCTGCGCTCCCAGCCGGGGCTCGCTCCGCTCCCAGCCGGTGAAGCCGCTCCCCTCCTCCTGAAGCAGCTTCTTGGAAGGCTTTAGGAAACTGAAGTAGTGGTCCTTTCGCTGCCCCGCGTCCTCCCCTTGGTTTCCTTTCCGCCAGCTCTGTCCCCGTCCCCTGGTGCCACCAGCAGCCCGGGACAGTGTGGGGGGTCCTGTCCTCGCAGCCCCCGGAGCCCTCGCCGAGGAGCGCAGGAGGTGACGCCGTGTCAGAGGCGGGGGAAAAGAACTGACAAAGCCGACTGGATGGAAAAGGAAATGCAAAGGAGCGATGGCGAAGCCCACCAGCGCGGCACCGTGGTGGCTCTGGCCCGCCGGAGAGCCGCGCTGGTGCTGCGAGGGAAGCGCAGCCAAGCCACGTTCCCGGAGAACAATGCCTGGCTGCACGGGAGAAAACAGGGAGCAAAGGAGAAGGACTTTCAGCCGGGTTCGATTTTTTTTTTTCTTCCCCCCGCCCCCCCTTGTGCCAAGAAACCAGACTTTTTACAAGCTCTGCCAAAGAGTAACTCGGAAAAGCAAGCTTTGAGAAGAGCAGGAGTTAACGTTTGTGCACTAGGATATCCTCCTTTCTACCTTTTTCATATGTATTAAGTGCAATCATTTGAGTCTTCCTTATATTATTTAGAGGGAAGTTGTTTTTTGGTTTTGTTTTGTTGTTTTTTTGTTTTGTTTTTTTTTTCTACTAGAAACGACAATATTTATAACTGCCTGAGAAACGAGAATGTGTGTTTGCAAGAAAACAAAAACCACCCACCCAGAGCAAGCCGGGCCCTGGGCTGTGCTGACCAGCGTGATGGCATCTCCAGGCCTTTTCTGCCACGTTTGTCCCCGATAAAAACCCCTCTCTGGGGGCAGACGGTGCCTCTTCTGCTCGGTGCAATGGGGTGAGTTTTTGCAGGGAGTTGGAGGTGTCTTGGTTCATCCACGGGGTGGAGTTGGTCCTTCCAGACTCATCTGCCACAGTTTGGGTGTTCTGGCCTCGTTGCAAGGGGCATCACAACTCAGCCCTGTCACCTGCTTGCTGCAAACTGATTTTCTTCCCTGCAGGGGCTCAGGGATGAGCCAAGCCCTGCTGAGGCTGGGGGGAGAGGGGAGCTGGCTCTCCACTCAGCCCCCAAATCTCTCCCCCAGGTACAGCAATCCCCCTGGGCAGAGCCACCCTCACACACCTGGGAGCTTTTGTGCTTCTGAGCCCCACCAGGCATTTTTGGCCCCATCCCTGGGTGTCCTCACCCTGCAGGGATGCTGTGGGAGTCCCTCCCCAGGGAAGACCCATCCTGCCAGCCCTTGTTCCACTGCATCTGCCTCCCCCAGACAGGCTCAGCTGGGGACAGTGGCCAGGTGGACACCACGAGTGGGTTTGTGCCCCCAGCATCTTCATGTGGACAGACAGGACTCCCAGGGACAGGCAACTGCTGCCACTGCTCACCCTCCTCCTCCTCCCCAGGCCTCCCTGCTTTTCCAGCCCAGTTCTCAGCTGTCATCCTCCCCACACCTTCATCCCCATCCTCATCCTCTCAAAGACCTGGAGCTGCCAGGACTCAACATGATCGACCTGCCTACAGCTCTGCCAGTGGCAGGTCCCTTCCCACCAGTCCCCCCTCGTCCCTCATGTCCCTTTGCCCACACCTGAGCCCAGCCCTGCTTTTAACAAACCAATTATTTATTGCTCTGCGTGTCCCACTGGGTCCATCTTTCCTGCACCTGGGGGAAGCAGCTGCTGATCCCCGTTTTCCCTCCTCGATCCACGCTGCTGCAGCACCCCAGGAGCCTCTCCTGGGCCCTGTGAGGGGCTGCAGGCGGGCTGAGCACTGGCACAGGGGCTGAGGTTTGTCCCCAAGATGCGTCAGTTGGAAAAGTCTGTCCTGATTCATCCCAGCTGTGGATCTTCCCCTCCTGCCGCCGGCTCCCAGGCTGTTTGGAAGCTCCACATCTGTGGGCTGAGCTGTTTGTCACTTGGTTGCTGTCTGAGAGCAGCTGCTCTAATGCACAAAAGCTGCTGTAGGGATCTGGAGGGGTTTGTGGCTCTGGGACTGTGGCACAGGACAGCGACCTTTGAAAGGGTCCTTTGCATTAAGAAGGAAAACAAACCAAAAAACCAACAGCAAAAATAAAACCAGCCCAGGACTGACCAACCCTGCTGTGGTGCCCTGGAGTGCCACAGCCCCTCGTGCCCACCAGAGTTCATTAACTTTGATTAACTCTGCCTCATCTAATGCCAGGTTACTGCCCAGCTGCCATGGGGGTGTCCTGGCTGTCACCCGTGTCACCACACCAGCCACCTCTGCTTCCCTTGTGGAAGGATGAGGTGGGCAGCAGATCCTCCAGGAACGGCCAAAGGCACCTGGAAATGGTGCTTCACCTTCTGCTTTCACCAAACAGCTCAAAAATGCCCCCAAAATCCCACAGGGCCCCTGCAGCCACCCACCCCCAGCTCAGAATGGGTCTGAAAGGCTGAAACCCACATCAGCCACCTCGGGGATCAAGGTTTTGAAGCAGTCAAAAAATTAGGGTTGTTGGGGTTTTGGTTTGGGTTTTTTTTTCATGTTGGAGTATTTATATCTGCCTTTTGCAGCGGGCCAGGACTTGCCATCTCCAGCAGAAACGATTAAAGTGATGAGCAAGATGTAGTTCATGAAGTTATTTGCACTTGATTAAAAGAAAAAAAATGTTATTTGAACTTTGTAAAAAGAAATGTTTGCATTTTGTATTGTCTTTTTTTAATTATTAAATGGAATTTCTTGGTGTTGTGTTGATCTTTCAAAAACTGGCTCTGATGCTTATTGTAAAGGTTTCTAACAGCAGGATCCACAGCTATTTTCATTGTTTGTTCCCTCGGATGCTGACAACTTTTCCAGGGCCCAAAGTATTTTTTTTCTCCCCCACAGAAGCTTAAATGCTGCACTTCCCTAAGCTCTCCAGTCCCTGCACAATGTATTTATTTACGCACATTATTTAAATTCAAGAAAATTCATTTTTAGCCCAGAACATGGGGTTGGACTGGCTCAGAGGGAAGAGGGGATGGGAAACACCCCGTGCTGGGCTGCAGCTCTGTCCTGCAGCACCCCTGGACCTGCTGACAGTGCTCGAGTCCTCAGCAGCTGCACCTGGGCAGGGGTGGGCTGCTGAGGGGCACTTGCATTCAAACCCTTCAGCCCCCCCAGAGCAGGGCTGGGCTCTGCAGGGACTCAGGGAGCTCTGCACCACGTAAGGGTCCCCTCTGTGGGCACAGGGGGCTCTGTCCTGCTGGGACACCTCTGCTCTGGGGGAAGAGTGGGCTCCTTCCCCTCCTTCTCTGAATGCAGGGGGGATGAGGCTCCTTCCCTCAAAACCTCCAACATCCCACTTGGAATTCACCTCTCAACTCAGCATCTGAGGCTCTCCCCAGGAGCAGCTCTGTGGCAAACCCTCCCCGGGAGCTCGGGAGGAACAGGCACACACAGCTGAGGGTGGCTGCAGAGTTTATTGGTGCCCCCCTTCAGTAGAGGCGCTGGGGTTTCCCCATGGTGCTCTTGATGTACAGAGCTCGCACGTTCTGCCAGTTCTTCTTCAGCAGGGACACCAGGAAGTTGATGGCCAGGTGGATGTTGTAGACCAGCTCGTCCTCTGTCATCTTCACGTGACCCACGGCCACGGCCAGACAGAGCACCTGGGGACAGACCCCCACCAGCCTCACTCTCTGCCTCTGGGCCAGCCCCCAGCCCTCTCTGCACTGTGGCACAGGCCAAGCCTCCTCCCTGAGCAGCCTGGAGTGCTCCCACAGGCTGCAGGCACTGGGATTTATGAGTGCAAGTGTCACTAGCTCAGCTCTATTAAATGCTCAGGCATTTGCAAACCCTCACATCTGCTGTGTCCTCAGGATCCCCACAGAGCTGCTCCCAAGTTCGCTTGGACAGAGCCAAGTCCCAAATTCACCCCCAGCAAAGCCCCACTCATGCTCAGGGGTGCAGCTGTCACAGGCAGAGCAGAGAGCTGGCTCACTTTGGGCTGCCCTGTGCTCGGGACAGGCCCCCACCAGCCTCTCTCTGCCTCTGGGCCAGCCCCCAGCCCTCTCTGCACTGTGGCACAGGCCAATCCTCCTCCCTGAGCAGCCTGGAGTGCTCCCACAGGCTGCAGGCACTGGGATTTATGAGTGCAAGTGTCACTAGCTCAGCTCTATTAAATGCTCAGGCATTTGCAAACCCTCACATCTGCTGTGTCCTCAGGATCCCCACAGAGCTGCTCCCAAGTTCGCTTAGACAGAGCCAAGTCCCAAATTCACCCCCAGCAAAGCCCCACTCACGCTCATCCCCCCAGGGACACCCCTGGCCAGGTCCTACCCCATGAGCAGCATTAATTACACTGGATTGTGCTCAGCACTGAACCATCCAACCATCTCCCCATCATCTGCCCCAAGATCATCAGGCACAGTTAAATTATTCCTCCTTTCTGGCTGGCCATGGAGCGCTCTGGGTACATCTCCCCTTGCTGGAGGAAACCAGCCACAGCTTGAGGAGCGCTCGAGGGACACCTACAGCCCAAGGCAGAGATGGCAGAGCCTGCACGACTCAAGCCATGCTTTACCTTCTTCATCTGGAACTTGATGGTTGACTTGACCTCATCCACCTTGGCCACCAGGTTCTCGTTGTGGGTGAGCAGAGAAGGGAATTTCCCAGCTTTGTTCAGGCCTGGGCCCAGGATTCGAGGGATTTGTTTGATGAGGGACTCGGAAGCCAGGAAGGCATCGTACTTCTTAGCTGAAGGAGACAGCCAGGGAGTGAGTGTGGACCCTGCTCCACTCCAGGAGGGACCCAGCTGAGATCACACAACTCCCCCCTGCAGACGAATCCAGCATTCCCTGGGTGCCACCAGAACTGGAGCTGGTTTGGCCAATCTTTGAGGAATGACTGCTACAGCAGCCAGGCCCTGCCCCACTCAACAGTGACCCCAAATCCTGCTCCCTGCAGGAACTGTCCTTTGCTAAGCCCAGGGGACACTGAGCTCCAAGCTCTGCAGCAGCCTGTGCACACCAGGGTCAATGAGACAGAGCATCCACCTGGGAGAGGCTTGGCCAACAACCACCCAACAGCTCACAGCTCCGTGGCCCAAAAAGGACTGAGGGCCAAGCTCCTGCCTGCCTGAGGGACTCTGGAGCCCTCAGGAAGGGAAGGATTTTCTCTCTGACCAGCAGAAAATGAGTGCATTCCCTTCTGTTCACACAAGAACTGCAGGACTAAAGCACACTCCTGCCTCAGTGTTTCCTGGCTTTTGCTGCCCTCCAGCTCCCCGACCAGGACACTGAGGGACACAGCCAAGGATGAAAGTGTTAGCAGGGATAATTTCTGTGTCTCCCTTCCCTTGGACAACCAGCCCCATTCCTGCAGTACTCATCTGCCAGACCTGCCCTGTGAACAGCCTGGTGATTTTCCTGATTAGTTTTTGGGCAAATTTTGG